TTCTGTGGCAGCTATATGTCAATACACGGAATATACTGTAAATTATTTTTTATTTTAATTTGTATAAACAAATATCAAGTTTTCCCTATAAATGCACTAAATGTACGGTTAAAATGATCTCAAATATCACTTCTACGGTCGCTCTCTCCACCCAAATGCCTAAACAGACCACCAGTATTGTCAGTAGTAGACAGTCATTGCGCTGATGAAGGACAGAGACAATTACTGTCCGAAACAAATGATTGCAATTTTTGTCCGCAAATAATACCGAAGACAATAATCGGTCAAATTGTGTCGCAAATTGTGAGTTGAAAAGTAAAATTTTATTGTTTGTAAATATTTGAGATCATTTTAACCGTACATTTAGTGCATTTATAGGGAAAACTTGATATTTGTTTATACAAATTAAAATAAAAAATAATTTACAGTATATTCCGTGTATTGACATATAGCTGCCACAGAATACTATATTATTATATTATAATACAGTATATTATAATACTATATACTATATTATTTTTGTCCGCAAATAATACCGAAGACAATAATCGGTCAAATTGTGTCGCAAATTGTGAGTTGAAAAGTAAAATTTTATTATTTACTACAAAGTATTATATCATAATTCTAACGAGTAAGATAGAAAATATTTAAAAAATGATTTTACTTTCAAACTTTAAATTTGAAATCAAGCAATATAATGAAAATGTACAGGTCTCGATCACGAAATTGATCTTGAGTTAATTATTATAATAAGAAATTAGTTATGCAGTCGATTCTATATTATAATAATTCTTATGCCAGTCTATTGATGACCCAAACGAATACATTACTGAAATGTAATATTATTTTTTTGTCTTCCGAGAAATATTTGTATTGAAATAGAATTGCAGTATATTTATGATAAATAGATTGACATTCAATTAGTGATTGAATGGTGTTTTTGTAGAACTTGTTATTACTGTACATATTGTATATGAATCAATATTTGTATTTATAAATCATACGGTTGGTGAAATATTTCATAAATTTAACTGAAATACAGTATTTGGAAATATTTCACTGAAACAAAAGCATTGAATTGTTGATTAAACTTAATTAAAATGGTTAATGACTCTTATATTAGTAATAGTGCTCTTGATATTCAGGAATATGACTCTGATTCTGATATTGAATTTATTGATATGTAAATCAAATGCTTAATACATTAAAAATAAACACCTAAAAGTGAAATATTTCACGAAAAATAAGTTTCACTGAAAATGCCAACCTTAATAAAGAATTATTTGTTTCGATGACAAACATGAATAGATATCATGTTATCAATATACAGTAACGTTATACAATATGTCTAAATCCGTGTCGATTAAGATTATTAGTTTTTAAAAACAGATTCTCATATACAGTAATAAATAGATAACATCAAATCCAATCATTAAAATTGAAAAATATTTTTGGTGAACATCTTGTAACATAATTCTACACAGTAAAGTATCAATACAACACAATTTATTGATTTACAAAGTTTTGGGTATCAAATAAAATCAAGACATACAGTAAAATAAATAGCTTTTCAACAGACTATTTATATTTTAATAATAATTTTTATACAGGAACTTTTTGTTAATTTAAAGAATTTATTATATAATATAAAATTAGATTCATAATATTTAATACATGTATAAATGATAAGTAAATGATAATACTAAATGTAAGAATTGGCTCCAGTACATGTATACTATTTGTACTATAACAAGTAAGTGTACTCTTGGGAAAACAACATCTGATTCACTGATAACTAACTAAAATTAATACAAATTATTTTTATATTTACACACATTTTGAAATGCTAAATTCTCTGTTAACCATACTCTCGGCACATTATAAAACTCTAGAATTGAGTTCAACTTGATTACTATAAATATTTGCTAACATCAATCCATTGTATTTTATTGTATATTCAGTGATTGATTTACAGTTAAGGGTTTAGAAAAATGTTATTTTATTTTGCGATTATTGTATTCATTGTAACCCAATGTGTATGCGGTTTAGACAGAAAACAAATAATTGATTACTCTGTCAAACAATACACTAAATTAGACACAACTCTTAAAATCGGAATACAGTATCCGTCTGAAGGTAGTCCAATATCTGCCAAATGGAATACAACACCCGGTGTTAAGGGCCAGTGGACGGCCGGCTTTTATCCTGGAGTTCTCTGGTATTTATATAACTATACAAAAAGTGATAATTGGAAACAATTAGCGATTAAAGCAACGGATGGGGTGTTTGATGATCAGTTTAAGACAGACTCTCACGACATTGGCTTTATGATAATGTGCTCATTTGGAAAGGGATATGAGTTCACACAGAATGATACCTACCCTAAAGTGATAGTTACTGCCGCACACAGTTTGGCCACAAGATTTAGCCGTAAATATTTATATGGTTTGTTGTAATAAATAATTATTGAAACTTTGTGTTTATTAAATAGCAAAAGTCGGTTGCATCAGGTCGTGGGACAGTAGCCCTTTCGATGCCAACCAAAAGGGAGATTTCCTGGTAATAGTGGATAATATGATGAATTTGGAGCTACTATTCGAGGGCTGGAAACATACGGGCAATGAAACCCTCTATGATATCGCTGTCTCTCACGCCAACCGTACTCTCAAAGAGCACGTCCGCAAAGACTACAGTAGTTATCATATCGTAGATTTCAACCATACCACCGGTGCTGTCATAAGTAGACACCAGGGTCAGGGCTATAACAACTCATCAACCTGGGCAAGAGGACAGGCATGGCTTGTGAATGGATTCACAACCACTTATAGATATACAAAACAAAAGCACTTCTTAGAGGGGGCCGAGAATTTAGCTCAATATTACATAAGCCATTTGCCGGAGGACGGCATAGCGCCCTGGGATTTCGATGTCCCTCACGATAAGTATCCGTACATTCCTCGGGACTCCTCGTCGGCAGCCGTCGCCGCGTCGGGTCTTTTCGAGCTCTTCGGGTTCACGAAGAATGAGAAGTACTTAAAGACAGCAAAACTTATTATGGAGTCATTGTCTTCGGATAAATACAGAGCTGACGGCAAACCAGAGTATAAATTGCCGGCACTTATAGTAAACGCTACTTCTATGGGACCAAACGCT